TTTTTCTTACCTGAAGTTCTAATGAGACCGTAGTTGTCGGTAAGGGTCAAAAGAGTTGGGCACATTTGTCATTATTTGACAACCAATGGGTGGTATAACCAATGAACGTAAAACATAGAATTGGGATATTTTGGCCATTTAGAACAAAGACTAGGGATCTTTAAGTATTTGTTTTGGTTACGAACTTACGACCGATGGGGGCATGCGTTATTTGTCAATAAAGTAAATTTCTAGCGCTTTAGATTCTCACGCTTTCATATGGATAGAGATAACTGGTTATTTTTAGGAAAAATTACATGCAACCCCAATTTTTAGTTTGCCTTTACGTATCTGTTCAGGTTAAGCATGCGTTATTTGTTAATAAAGTAAATTTCCAACTTTAGATTCTCGTGCCATATGGATGGAGACAGCTGATTATTTTTAGGAAAAATTACATGCACCCCCAATTTATAGTTTGCCTTTAAGTATTTGTTTAGGTTAAGCATGCGTTATTTGTTAATAAAGTAAATTTCCAACTTTAGATTCTCGAGCTTCCATATGGGATAGAGACTTACTGATTTTTTTTAGGAAAAATTACATGTACCCCCAAATTTTAGTATGCCTCTCAATGCTTTTGAAACCACATTAATAACTATAGTACTTTTTTTTTTTAACCACCCCTAATATAAGAGTCGACACCAAAATGCTCTCTTTTATGCCACATTTCCCACTCTTTTCTAAGCCAATTCGGCACAACTGTCACAACTTCTATAGAGCTGATCCAACAAATTTTTTGTTATGGACCAACACTAAATTCAACTTGTGTTGGTTTCGCATATTTTTGTGCCTGACCAATATAACTTGCACATAGTCGATCAAACACATTTTTTGTGTCAAACTAGCTCTGTATTTAACTTGTGCTGGTCCGGTCACACTTTTTTGTTGTGCCCCAGTCCGATACATGTTGTGGATCATGTTTTAGAAACATGGGTTAAAATAGTGGATATTTTTGGTAAAAATAATACCTTTTTTTAATTGAGATGGTAGTTGCAAAAACAAATAGCATTGGAGTTAATAGTGTGGTATTAAAAGTGTTAAGGGCAAGATAATGCCTAGAAAGCAAAAAATTTTGGTCTCTCTTTTTTGTTTTTTGGGTGAGGGGGCAAGGGTAATTATAATTTTCCCTTCTTAAAATGACTATAGAAAGAAACCTAAGTGATTTAGGAATGGGTTCAAGACGAAGTGGTCAGGGTGGTGGGGTTCCAGTCCCATGATGAGTAGGGGACCCCTTTCCTATTGAACCATCTAAAAAAATTAAAAATATTTGGGTGTGGTTTCTATTAGGTTGCAACCTTAAACAATCCAATAAAGGCGCACCTTCAAATTTTATCATAACATGTAATTTTGGTGTAAAAAATTATTAGGTTATCTGAAAATTCATTTTCATATCTATTTATAAAATCTTAATTTTCAAAAATGGTGAAAATCAAGTAGATCTATAAACATATGAAAATCTTGAAAACAGATGGTCTAGATAATGTGTTGCAAGATGCACCATTTATGGGATTCGAAATTTTTTTTTTTTCATACTCAAACATGTCGATGTCGAGATGATCAATTAGGGGCGTTTTCAACATTAAAACAACATTTTCCGATGAATTTTTTATGTGCATCTTTAATTCTACATTTTAAGGTTGCAACTTTTCTATAAGCTTTTTCCAAAATATTTTCTTTTACAATAGTAAAGGACTACAACCCATACAATGGAAATTTTGAATTCAAATTTCATATTATCAAACATAACTTTAATCAGTTTGATAAATGGGAGTGTATTTTAATTTGTGCGACTTGTTTTTTTATTAGGGTGTGTTGTAGACTCCCATAGGAGCATAGTGTACACCATTAATATATACATATACTCCCACAGTCAAAAGACTACTTAGGAGGATTTTTTCAATATGAAATTTAAGTACCACCTAAAGATTTTTAAATGATTAGAAATTTTTTTCCTAGAATTTAAATTTTACTCTCTAAAAATAGGATGCCCTCTATTCAATCTTGAGACTTTTTTTTTTAAGTGTATAGAGGGTGCAATTGCGAAGGTTTTTAAATTGAGGTTGTCATATATAGATTGAAGATGTTACATACCAAAAAATTGAGGTCCTATAGTTAATCCTATATGGGTATTAACTAGATGGAGTAAATGAACAATATACTCTTGCAAGAATATACTATGAACCAGACTTGTGTATTTACGATTTAGGTGTACTTAAATTTGAAGTATTTATAGTATTTTTGAAATTCTCCCCGTAAAATACCTTGAAAGTTAGGGGATGAGATGAAGCCAATTCTTATAAGACAATTAATTTTTTAAGGGGAAATA